CCCCGAAGCCCTTACAAGCCATAGCTGGGACTCTATAGCAAATTGGAAAGGTTGGTTGAAGTGTATGGATAGGAGTGACGTTAATTTTCTTGTTATTTTCTCATAAATTTGAAGTCCTTGGAAACTGGGGTCGAGTAGGTCAGTGCAGCCTGTGTCCCTATAGAGATTCCCGTGTTAAATACTGTGGAAAATAACACTCTTTCATGACCATAAAGTCATAAAAAGTGGTCAAAAAAGTTACATAGGCTACAAGTGCATGCAGTCAGATATTTCACACGGAATGTATGCTCCAAGTGCATACATATAAATAACTGTGCAGGAGCATCACACGTATTATCTACATTTTTGTTAAATTTTAGTTAAAATAAGTAAAAACTTATTTAAACTAGTTAATTAAAAAATATTATTACATTTATGTTTCAAATTCATGGATATTTTATTATTATTTTAAAATTTAAATTATTAAAATATTTATAATTCCTCACATAAATTAAAGTGATATAGACAATAAAAAAAAGAATTAAATCTTTGTGAATTAAAAGTATATTTATTTTTACATATTAAAAGTATTTTAAAAAAATTAAATTTTTTTATTTTTTTTTTTCAATTAATTTTTTTATATTTTCATTTTTTATGTACTAATATTAAAAATAAATTTTAAAACTAAAAAAATATTATTTTAATATATTTCTAGATAAAAAAACAATTTAAAAAATAACAACACCATTAAATATCAAACATGGCTACATGATAAGTTTAGCTGAAATTGTGTTCAAGTAGTTCCCAACTAATCCTCTTTTTGTAGGATCCAATTTCCGGTCATTTCTTGGTGACCATAAGCTGCCGCAATCTCTTCTCCCTTTCACATCAAATAGAGGTCGGGGCCTTGGGCTTATGGGTAAAAGCCGAAGGCGGTGTGAGGGCATCCATCAAATAATGGTATCTTTCTACGATGAAACGCGGGACTCTCCTCTCCCTGATTCTCAACTGAGGTCTTCCACAGTCACACCCTTTTCATTTTTAGTACCTACTACATTTGGGGCCGGGGGTATCTTTTTTTATTTATATAACAAAAAAAAAACCCTCACGCAGGTATATTTAAAAAGTATAAAAAACCGACTTTATTGAGAAAAAAATTCATTAGATAATAAAAGATTAAATAACAAAAAAAAATACCAACTCCAAACAACTCAACAAAAAAAATAACAAAAATAAATTAAAAAATAACAAAAATAAAAAGCAAACCAAGCAAATTATGCTACTTGAATAATGTGAAAGATATAACCCAATAAAAGATAAGTGAAAAAATATTATAAAACTTGATTTTTAATAACCAATGTTAAAGAGTAATAAAAAAAAAAACAAGACTATAAATAAAGGTAGATTTCAAGTATTGATTAAGCAGAAATCAAAAGCTAAACATAGAGAAAAACCACTCTTCTCCTCAAGTTTTTTCTAACATTATCGCCTTTTCTCCTCTTCTATTGTCATTACCTCAACACTGCAAGCTACCGTCCCGACCTTTTAGTCACTAATAACTCTCCTCTTCCACCCAGACAAGCCTTCTTCTTTCTCTCTTTCCCTTCATCCCCCCTCTATAGTCATTGCTTGTAGAATTCATTTTGCATGCAATGACAAATTTAATTAATATGGTCAATAGGCCGGGCTAGTGACCATGTCGGCCCAGGTTGGTCTTGTTTTGGCCAAGTCTAATATATTTAATCATGAAATAATATAATAATGCTAAAATATTAAAATAAAGAAAAAAAATTTAAATTTTTCAAAAGATGTTTTAAAAATATTTGTGGGCCCTTTGCATATTTTTCAAACTACTTTGCATAATATCAAGTTGTAACTCACATTATAAGATACAAACTTGATGTTAAAAACATTTGATTTTCTCTGAAACTTTACAAAAAATTTCAAAGACTTCACAAAAATTTTCATTTCAAAAACACAAAAAAGAATATTTTGTTTTCACA